TCATGCATACATTGATCACCACCACACACGCTTGAACTGTGAAGAACTATGAGAAGTATTTCTTTCTCAGAATTACCAGGCCATCTCAGGATTATCTTCCTTGGGGGGCGATAGGTTGTAAATCTCAGAGGCTTGTGGTGGTCTGGATAGGATTCCCTTCTTAATCACGATTCATGCTTATGGAGTCCTTAGTAAGGCCAGATGCTGTTCACATCACACTGTCCATATATTGATGCATTTAAATCTCTCAAGAACCCTCTGAAACTGGTCCTATTATAATCCCCATGTATGATGAGGCGTTTAAGCAAACAGGTTGAGTGATTTCTCTGAGGTCATGTAACTAACAAGTGGTAGAGCTGGGCTGTGAATCAGGCTGTCTGACTTCATATCATATGCTCTTCACCATTAAAGCATACTTATTCCACCGCAAGCTTGCACAGGGAAACCTGGACAGTGAAAACAGACTCTCTGTCAACAAATTATTCCTCTTTTAATCTGAGGGAGAGGGATGCTAAGGAGATCCAAATTTGGAGAGTATTCTTAGAATTTGTCCTTCTGAGATCTGCAGGTCCTCCCTCTCAAACAAATAAAAAACCCAAATTCAAGAGACAGTTTTCAGATTCAAAGTTGTCCTAATCAGGACTCCCTTCTAGGACCACTCTTAACAATATAGATACAGGAGGTGGCCTCAGGATTCACACGAGGAGAACAATAGCTCTGAGGTACTTTTGACTCTATTGAAGGAGGTCCATTGCTCTTAGCAGCAAATGATACAGAAAAATGTCAGCTTGAAGGTGTGTACCATGTTATCACAGGCCTGGGATTAACTTGTAAAAATTGTGAGCATTCAGGAATGCCACACAGTGACACCATTTACTTCTGTTTGCAAATTAATTCAGGAAGGACCTTTGAAACTTTTGTTATGAAAAGATACAACCTAGTTCCTCCTCTTGTGCCTCCTCCCCCTACCCCTTGACTCCCCTGTCTCCCACCACCAATACCACCATACATTCTTAAAGTCCTTTAAAGTTTTCAAAGTGCTTTCATATACACACTCCATTCTTTATGTCAGGTCAGGGCAAAATTTTATTGCATTTGGCCAAAGGCCATTTTGAAACTTTAAGAGAAAAAAGGACATACAACGTGATCTTTGAAATAAAGGGATTACAACAGAGCAAAGTTATAAAGTTAGAAAGAATTTGTGAGTTTTTTATATATATTTATATGTATGTGTGTATATATGTATGTGTGTGTGTGTGTGTGTGTGTGTATATATATATATATATGTAACAGACTGACCAAATACTTCATGTGTTTTTTTTAACAGTTGGGGTTTAGACAAAAACAACTAGAAGATGTAAACAAATTATTTAAAAATAGCATTTATCCATCTTTGGTTTTAAACAGCTAATACATGCTCATGACAGAAAAATTGAGGGATGTGAAAGTGAAAAATCAAAAATATAAACATCCATAATCTCATTATGCAGAAAAAAATGATTATATTTAGAGTACAATCCTCTAGTTTTATGTTACACACACACACATACACACACACACAATGGAGTTGGAAATTTCTTCATGCTATGCTCAGATACGCAGAAAATAAATGCTGCCCTTTAATTTCTAAAAACTCTGATCTGGTCCGTGTAATTCCACTTCCCTGAATGGTAAAAACAACTTATTATCCATTAGCAATATTTCAGTCATTTCTGGTTTGTGGGTCTCCTTTCATTTTAACATTCAATCCATTCAAAGTTATGATGGTTTATATAGAGTCTTCTTTGAAAGACTTAGTCTCTCTTTTTTTTTTTAAGATTTTATTTATTTATTTGAGAGAGAATGAGAGAGAGAGCACATGAGAGGGGGGAGGGTCGGAGGGAGAAGCAGACTCCCTGCCGAGCAGGGAGCCCGATGCGGGACTCGATCCAGGGACTCCAGGATCATGACCTGAGCCGAAGGCAGTCGCTTAACCAACTGAGCCACCCAGGCGCCCGAAAGACTTAGTCTCTTGAGGAAAATGCTCAGTCTTTCAGATTGTCCTCGTACTCCCCCCTCCTTCCCTTCCTCAAGATGATGTCCTGGTGTCTGAGAAACAAGGCTCTAGCTAACACAGACTTCAACTTAGAATGAAATACGAAAAGGCAAAGAAGGCCACTCTTCTGAGATGACTGATGTCAGAGAAACTCCTGACTCCAGCCCAGGGCACATGGCTTGCCAAGCGAGGGTGACACCTTGAAGCATACATTTGGGCCCAGCTTTCCCACCCCTAAGGTACATGCCTGCCGAGGGGCTTGGTCAGAGGCAGAGGAAAGGGGTGCTTGAGTCCTTGTCCTGTGTCTGGTCCTGCAGCTCTCCGTGGCCAGGTCTCTCCTGGGCCTGGCTGCTCTTTGCCCCGCGGGTGTCTACAGCAGGTTTGAACTGGGACCTGCTCTTCTATTGTTTGGGGAGCACTCTCAGGTAACCCCCGGATGCCTCTGACTCACCTCAGTTTTGGTTGATGCTTTTTGAGTCTGTGCTATATAGCGTAGCCAGCCTGTCCTGGAAAGTCCTCTTTGAGTGTCTGCTGGGAGGCACCATGTCCTCCATCACAGGGAGCCCCATGCTCAGCCCATGATGCTCAGCCAGGCCACTCTGAGTTCTGGGTCTTACTCCTGCTACATGGGAGGTGGAAACAGCTTATAAAATATAAATTCCCCACCTTCCTCTTCCTGCCAAGACAATACCACTGGATTCCTTTTATGTGTGGCCATTCCCCATTGTGCTTCTAATTGAGATGATTTCAGCTTCTACCTGAATTAGAACCGTTAAATTAATGGAAGGTCAGAGGAACAAAGGGAGAGGTTTTAAGAAACTTTTGTCCAATTTACAATGCGTATTCTGTGTCTCCTCCCAAATTCCCACTTTTTCCTCATGAAGAACTTGAACCTCTTTGGAAGTGTCTTAGTGCTGCACCTCCTGAATCCAGAAGAATTTTCGAGGGAATCATCTGCTTCAGTGCTTTTGGCTTCTGCTTAAGTTTATGTTTGGCATCTAGAACAACTTCTGGTGAGAACTCACAGCATGCTATAGAGAAACAATTTTAGCTGAAAGTTTGCATTTCCGCTCAAATTCTCACTTTGTTCTTTTTAAAAATAATTAGTGTTCTTAGCAATTGTTATGGAATTTGAATAGTAGCCTTTTGAAACTTACACAGAATGAAACAGCAGAATCTTCAACATTGAGAAGATAAGAGGTTTCCTTCTGGTTAATTAAAGGAGCAAGAATTATGGAACTTTATAGCCATTTAATTATGTCATTAACGTGAGAGTTGGCTAGCAATGGGGGGGAGAGACCGCCTGATCTCTCAGGGCTCTGTCAGGGCTCAGACTGTGACTCACTGCATTTTTGAAAGGTTGTTAACTAGATGGGCACATTGGTTAGAAAGATATTTAATAACTTAGTTAAAATGGCATCAATACATATTTTCCTAAGAGGTTCTTTTGTTGTTGTTGTTAGAAGTGTTGAACATGGACACTGAAGATTGCAAGCTAAAAGCGAAAATTTTCCTTCAGTGTGGTCAACAGTGTAGTTAGGCACAAATTCCGGACACGTATGTCAGGTGGAAAAAATAATAATACCTTTGCCATACTGATCCTAGATGGTATTTATATTTATTTATTTACTTTATAAATCAATATTATTTATTTAATCCTATGTACCAAGGCCTTTGTTTTCCCTCATTTAATCTTCTCAACAAATCTATGAGGTAAGTTTTATTATACCTGTTTTACAAACAATGGCCACTGGGCTCCAGAGACATTAACTAACCTGCCCTACATCCTACAGCTAATGAGTGGGATTCTATCTAGGCATTAATGACCAAAAAACCATCTTCCCTACCTACTTTGATGCGCTACCTCCCTTCCCTACACTACCCTACCAAATTTGTTATGAAGCTCAAATACATAATCTGATATGCAATTTGATAATACAAAATAGGCATGTAAATACATAAGCTATTGTCAACTAGGCAAATTTTTTTCAAGGTATTTTTTTTCCCTCTCAATGTTCAGTTACATTTTGTATCTTTGCACCATTAATAAAAATATATAAAGGAAGACAATGGAAAATAACAATTATTATATGTGTTGATGATTATAAAGAATTAAAGAGAAAAAGGAGGATATAATGGCATCTGCCTATTTGCACCATTTTTTGATTTGCCTTTGGCTTCTGTCAGAAGAATCATAAAATTATTTATAGCTTGTGTATTAGAACTTGTGGTTGGGAGGGAATTATCTATGATTTTCCCTTATTTGTATTGCAGTTAATAAGGAAATGTGGTCAAACTCCTATTAATGTTATCCCTTGAAAGCAAGGTTGTCTGGGAAATTATATATGCTCTCTGGGAGATATGCTCTCCTACTAAAATTATCTTCTTTGAAAAAGACATACACTTACGTGAGAAACAATTTTTTTCAGGAAGTATTAGAATAAGATTTGCTATTAGAACATTGAATCCACATAGCCTTCCAGGATGGTGGGAGTAGAAGTTAGAGCAGAGTGATACAGAGAGAAGGAAAGATAAATATCGTTAAAAGGCTAACTCTTCCATGTCATTGGCACAATTTCGTTCTGACAGATATGAAAGATTAAAAAACAGAAAGCAGACATAGAACAAACACTTTGGGGGGATATACATTTACTTCACAAATTCAGTTAACTAAACATTTTCCAGCTATCTTCAAAATGCCTTCTGCTAAGTCAGAAAACTTTTAAATTGACCACATAAACTCTTGACCCCTTGGCTTCAGGGCACCTTCTCTTGTCTAATCAATCAACTCACAAGAATTGTTTTTGAGTTTCTGTGAAGTGCTCCAGACTCTGATGATCCTTTGTCCCTTCACACCCTGGTCTTGGCAGACCAAATTCCACCCTGGCTTCTCCTCTATTATACAATTTGGTCTTCTTCTTACATTCTAGACTTTCTTCATTTACTTTTTAATTTCTCTTTACAGACTCCCAGTGCCATTCCAAGAAAAAAAAAAAATAAAGGCATTTTCAACAAGTGGACAAAACTGTTTCATTCAAGAGATTTTTGCTTTTTTCTCTCCTGGAATAATTGCTGTGTTTTGCTTCCTTGACATTTCATCATGTTCCTTGAGATTGTGGTAAGGTATGTATACTATATGGCAGGAGAGAGTCTTCTAGGACTCTGCAAACTCTTTTTTTTTTTTTTTCCCCTCTTCCATTATACTAAAGTGTATACCTGGTCATCCCTGTAATTTTCCTTTAGGGATACACTGGTGTTTATTTTCTTATATGGGGGCCACCCTTCCCATAAGCTTAAGCAAAAATCTGTTTGGGAACATTTATTTCACATCACTATCTCCCTTCTGTATCTCCTCTTCTATTTCAAATCCCACTCTTTGTTGGTCCTTCAGTATCATCGAGATGCCCTACTTTTGTGTTCTTATGATGTATTGTTCAGTTGTAGCATATACTTTAAAACAACATCATCCAATTATTTGTCTTCCTTCACCAATAGACACCTCAGTGGCAAGAACTTTGTCTAACTTATAGCCCCAGGATTTAGCACAGGATAAAGTCCGTAGTAGAGGCTGGGTGACAACGGATGGAAAATAGACTGTTCAGTGGAATCACTGCATGAAATGAAGGGTGGGGTGTTTGGGCTAAGGGAAAGGATTGCTAAGGAAGAATAAGAAAGTAACAGGAGTTGATTTGGAGAATACAAAAAGCTAAAAACCAAGTTCTGTTAGTATCTGCAGAGTTCCTCACTTTTCATCTGTGGAAAGAGAAGAGAGTACTTTGCTTGACCCACAGGCATAATCTAGCTCCTCCGAAGTTAGAGAATTTCCAGCAGAGTGAAGAATTAAGCGCAGGCCTGCATTATTTGCTGATGTCTTAATATCTTCCATAACTAAAAGCCAAGTAGAGTATAAGAAGCTTCTATGAGCTCTGAAAGTCAATTCATTTTAAAATACATGTATCGAGAGCCCACTTTGTGCTGCAACTATGGATATAAAGACAACTGGGACATTGTCTCATAATAATTCCCTTTTCTCAACCAAATTAGCTATTCTCATCACTATAGCTGTCTCTATATCAGACATTCATAACACCACTTGAGGAGATCTCTAATACTTTCTTGTGAAGAACTCCAAATAGCTTCTTTTCCTATAGGTATGCCATTCTTCTGTGCCCACTGCCAATTTAACCTTAAGTTTTCAGTAAATGAGATAGCCAAGTCGGGTTCTAATAGTTAGTGTTAAATTGGTAGTTTCTTGGGGCATGTGGGTGGCTCAGTCAGTTAAGTATCTGCTTTCCCATCAGGTCATGATCCCAGGGTCTTGGGATTGAGCCCCATGTCAGACTCCCTGCTTAGCAAGGAGTCTGCTTCTACCTCTACCTCTCCCTCTGCCTCTGCCACCTGCTTCTGCATTCTCTCTCTCAAATAAATAAATTTTTTAAAATGTTAAAAAATAAGAATAAGTTGGTAGTTTCTTACTATATATTACATTTTCATCTATCCATTTAAAATGTGTATTGTGCAATGACCATAAACCTAGAATGTTTCTGTCCACAGGAATATGTACACGAACAATATAGAAAATATTCCTATTTTCATAGACCTTTTATGCCCATGCGGCAGACAATAAACAAACATGTAAACGGTATCAGCCAGCATTTTTTCTACAATAATGCTGTGAAACAAATAGCTCTAAAATCTCTGAATTAAAACACCGAACACTCACTTATCTCATTAGCAATTCTTAGGTAAGCTGGAATTGTAGGGTTCAGCTTACCATGGCTTGAAACTGTCAGTTGGGATCTGATTCGCTAGTCCAGAGAAACCAAATCCCTGGACCAGTTGCTATCTGGGGCCTGTGCTTCTCATGAAGAATGGCAGGAGTGCAAGAGAACAAGCAAGATCATGCCAGCAAGTCTAAAACTCTGCTTCTGTCACATTTATTAACATTTTATTAACCAAGACAATTCACATGCCAAACCCACTATGAATGGATCAAGGAAATATTTTTCATTCATAGTGGGAATACCTGTAAGTCCTATGGAAAAAAATGAATGTGTAATTTTATGCTAGGAAATAAATGAAGAATTAAAAGTAATAATTCAATCTACCTACCAGTGTCTTCCCTCTTGGCCACAATTTTTTAGGATCCTTCTGCATTTGAGATATACTCACTGCCATCCCAGGAAACCTACAAAGGCTCACCCAGTTGTTGTTGTTGTTGTTGTTAAGATTTTATTTATTTATATAGACAGAGAGAGAGAGAGAGAGAGAGCACACAAGCAGGGGAAACAGCAGAGGGAGAGGGAGAAGCAGGTTCCCCACTGAGCAGGGAGACAATGAGGGGCTTGATCCCAGGACCCTGGGACCATGACCTGAGCTGAAGGCAGATGCTTAACTGACTGAGCCACCCATGTGCCCCATGGCTCACCCAGTTATGGCATCAGGTTCAAAGTCCATGATCTCATGATCCATGTCAGGTCTAGATGGAACTGCTCTTGATTTAGACATCTATGGCATCTGTGAATTGAAAAGATATGTTATCTGCCTCCACATATCTAATATACAGTGTTGGAACAGGGACAGGATAAACAAACACTTGCATTCAACATGGAGAAAACTAGGAGAAAGATAGAAGTCACATAGAAGTCACAGCTCTATAGCAATTTTGGAATTCTGCTGGGTAAATTTTGCTGGTTCCCCTACAAAGAGGTTGGTTTATACCTTGGTTGGGCCCTGGTTCTACACCTGAGAGTTGATCAGCAGTCTACTCTGCCCTTGGAACTTCTTCTTTTTTCATCTTGGCCTTTCTGACAAGTACTGGAGAATATGCCCTTCTTTGTTGCTGAGCAGGGTTCTCAGCCTGCTTCCTGCCTGTAAAATTTTGGGGGCCCAGAGATCTTTATGTATCTCAAACAGACATAGTCTTTTTAAACCCAGGCTAGTGGCAATTTTTCCAATACAATTCTCTCCGAATTTTTTGTGGGATTCCCACTATTCTTTTAGAGACATGATTCTTTCTAGATGTAAGTGTAGGTCCTTTGCTCATTTATGAGTTGCACCCTTGATCTCCTTAATCTTTTCAGGGGTTTTAACAAAGGGTGTGACAACCACTTTTTTTATTTTGTCTTTGCTGTACAGCAGTGTTCTAATGCCACACCTTTACAGGGAAATGGTTTAAGCTTTCAAACTTATAATCCCCAGAATTTCTAGGTTCTTTCAAGTCCCCTCATTCCTTCTGGCAAACTAGTCCATTTTTTTCCAAGCTCATTTCTCTCTTGTAGTTACTTATCACATGTGGCTGATAGCAGCCAACTCATACCATGAATATTCTCCTCAGAAATGTCCCAGCCCATGCAGTGACTGTAGTATATTCTTCTGCCTTCTAAGTTATTACAGATAATGGTTTTATCAAGTGTTTTGTTACTATTACAATATGGATTGTCATTTTTTTCCAGCTTCTTATTACAGTTTTTTATCATTTCCTCTCTACTTACTACATGATCCCAAACCAAATGATGCATATTTTAAAGGATTTTGACAGCAGAAGGCCATTTCTGGTATAATTTCTATGTTAATTAGCAATTGCCACATTAATGATGAATGATAAGCCTCACACTCAAACCCAAATATCAGAGGCTCAAACAACAAGTGTTTATTTTCTTGTTAATGGTCCCGTGGGTTCGCTGAAATAGCACTACTTCAGGTCATGGGGGGTTTGATTCTAGGCTTCTGATTATGTTCAGTTTTGTTCTAACAGTGTCCTCATTCTTCTTCAAAAAATGACTAATTATGACATGTTTTTCTTATAGGGAATAGTAAGAGCACCAGGACACAAGTAAGACACACAGCATATTTAAAGTCTGTTCTTATCAAGTCTGCTAACATTTAATTAACCAATGCAAGTTAGTCACATAGCTAAGCCTAACGTCATTTGGGTGGGGGTCATTTCCTACCTGTAGTTACATGGCATGCATGTTATAGCAGGTTGGGAATTAAAAATTGAGAACAGTTTGATCTAGCACACATGCCAACAAGAAAATATCAACTAGTATAAAGGCTGTTAAGAAAATAGAGCTGAGTCATATTTAGAGAATGCCCAGAAAACTATTAAGAATAGTTTCTTGGAGATGACATTTACACTGAAGCCGAATGTCTCCCAGCCTGAAGGAATAGATGATGTAAAGACCCGGATGCAAGGATAAGCTGAGGGTGATGGGGGAACTGAAATAAGACCATGGGGAGGATGGTAGGAGATGAAATCAATGAAGCAGGTAGAGGCCAGGTTATTTAGACCTCTGTTATAATTACTGTTATATGCAATATCATTCTGGACATTTCAGAGGATTATTTACCAAATGCTGAAAAATAATTGTGAGTTTTATTGGCTGTCATAATAACCCATGAATTCAACCAGTCAGGAAATTTTTATACGAATTGAATTGTATAAACAATTCCAAATAATTACCCTTTTGCCAGTTCTTATAACCTGCAAAGTGTTGACCTACTAAGTTGTTTCAATGGGAATACCTGAAGATACAAAGGATTCTTGACTAGAGAGGGACCAGCCAAAATACTCAGAGAAAATGGTGGCCTCTGAAACTACTTGGATTCTTAACAACTCCAGGTATTTATTTCCCCGTGAGCTTCTTAGAGCTAAATGGAGATATAAAGGTATTGGAGCCTCCGTTCTCCCCTTACTCTCACTCTTGGGAAAAACCTCTTATTCTTTTGCTCCCCAGAGGGTTTTCTAGAGCTGAAATAGCAACAGCTCCGATTGCTGGTGATATCTCCTCCTGGGGAAGTTATGTGCTGGCGCTCTGGCGGACAGGGTGGTCAGGTAAGGTGTAAAACCCTGGAGGTATAGCCCATGCCCTTGAGAAGTTCATGACTGATCAGGGTGAAGAATGACTTTCAATGGGGCTTACTCACAACCACACAGAGTGTGGTTACATGCAAAGTTCGTTTTAAGTATCTCAGAATTTCACTAAACCAAAACCTCAAAGATGCTAAACACTCTGCCCAAAATCATGAGGTCTTGAGCACTTTCTAGAAATGACCGTTGATCTTTGTCCTATGTGAAAACTTTTGTTAAAAATTGGTATTTAATTAACCAGATTTTCTTTTGTCCTCGTCTTTCTGTAGACTTGAGGAAAAGAGAACTATTCTTTTTTCAAATACATGGAAAAAGTAAATGAAAACCAGCAACAGGGAGAAGCTACTACTGTCCCTGGGTTATAATGACACCTCCACAGGTGTGCCCTTGACTTCTATTAAGAACAACCAGCTAAAGAGGTAAACTACACAGCTATAAATTTTCACCGCAGCATCTTTTAGCAAGAAAGGGGCCGTGTCTAGATGAATCAGAATATGCTGGCTGGCAGAGCTCAGACACAATGCAGTTTTTCAGAAGAAATAAATGCGACAGTGTCTATCTCACACACATTTGCTTGTCAGACTTCAGAGCACTGGGCAGAGATCAGTTAAGCATCGCCACCTGTCCCATAGGTGGCACCTCATTTTCAGGTGGGTCTCTGAGGTCATTAGCCCTGAGGCAGCCCCTCCTCGGTTCAGCTCCTGTGCTACAAGATAGGACAGGAATCCCACCAGCACCGCCCAAAGAAGAGAGCTTGCCGCCTGGCCTGAAGAAAGCTCCCAGCCCAGGAGAGTGGCAGGTTAAAAGCCTATAGGATGGTTCAATCAAAGGCATTGCCTTCCTCTGTCCTGTGCCACTGTTGTACATTGGAACGCATGCTGCTAGGAGACAAAGAGGACACACGTTTATTTTCAAGCGTAGGACTTTGGAACCACTTGGGAAGAATATTCTTGATTGAGAACCAAAACATTCCATGATGCTTAACAAACCTGCAAATTGAAAAATCAGCATCGGCCTGTGCAGCCAGGAGGCAAGAGAAGGACCTGAAAAAAAAAAGATTCAAAATATTCCTTAAATGATATTTGTGTGCATTTGCAAAATTACCGCTTTCTGAATCAAAGCCTCAAGCTGTTTTCGTCTGAGAACGTATGTTGTTCCGTGAGACAATATCTAGGCTGCCGCCGCCCATGACATACCCCGCCGCATTGCATAATGGACAGTCCCGTGAAGAAGGTGCTGCAGCTCAGTCAATGCCCCTGTAATAATATTTTAAAATAAATGATATGCATCATTAAATCACCGAGGATGACTAACTCACTTTTAGAAAACCCACAACTCCAGCAATCATAGTTACAGCTCTGATTTGAATATTTTCACTTTCACCTGAGCAGCCAGTGGGAGCCAGTCAAGCAGATTCGCATCCAGACTGTACTCTCAAAGGAGCAGGAAGGAACCTGTGATTATGTAGTTACAGTAACGTCGGCTCCATGCCTGCCCTCCGCCTGGGCTTTTTAGACTTTTGCTTCCTCCCTTCTTGCCTTCTTATTTACATATCACAGGCATCCTCTTTGTAAAGTTATTTTAAATAATTTATTAGATTGATCTTTTTAAAATTCTACCTTGGCTAAATGTCATAAGGAGAGGGAAAAAAAAAAGTCTTCTAAACTTATTTAAAGGTTTCTACTGGAGTAGGCCAAGTTACCTGCTTCACTGCTGATATTCTAAAAATACCTCCATGTCCGTACTATTATCCATTCTTCACGTCCAATTGCTCTGTTATGGTAATAGTCAGAGGCACACCATGCAGTAATTACTTACAGCTGACTGAAGAAAAGAATATTCAACTCCCCCACTGTTCCACTAGAAGGTCTTTATGCACTATTAACTCATTCCTGTTTATTAATACTCTACTGGTAATTCAGACTGCTGCCTCTCAGGTTTGTAATAGGAGGACTATTAAACAGCAATTACTGACCATATGGGTTGGCGAATATTTGTTGTTTTTTTTTGGTGGGCATCCCCCCCCTTCCGACTTGTTTTTTAAGAAGCCATATTACAACGTAGTAAAAGTAACATCACATCTGCATGAGATTAACAGGCTTGGCAATATTTCTCCCTT